AGAATTATAGAATGAACCATAGTCATAGAACTTTTTTATTCAACTCTACAGCTCAAATCGTATCTCATCTCCCCACTGTTGCAAAGAAAATGTACACTCAATTGAGCCCCAAAATATATTGTTCCAGCTTTTATATATTGACTTTTGACTATTGAAGTTGATGTAGTAATTACCATGACAAGCCTAATATATAGGCAAATGCACAGTACTATCTCACAAATAAATATAAGAAACAAACTGCAATGACTGTAATTATTAAAGAAAAATATAAAATAAAAATTTCTCACACAACAAAATATCCAGTATTTTAGTGTATAAAACCTGCTGACCCTTTAGCTGTTCATATTTCACTCTTCCCCAAAATGTGTTTAAAATGTGAACTTTGAACAGAATCCTGCCATTGAAACGTGAAACACAATTTGAATCACAATGCTCTACAAAAATGCTAAAGGTTTTTACATCCCTTCCTTCTAATAACATCCAAGGGGCTATAAAGGTACATTCCACTGTGATAATGGGTACACATCATCACTCCTGCTTCTATTTGACCTGCAGTGAACTCTCAGTGCCTGGAGCGAGCACTATGAGCCTGCTGCTGCTGCTCCTGTGTACTGAATACTAACTGTAGCCACTGGGACGTGGGTATTTGCAGTAGAGATTGGCCCGTGTCAAAGGAGGGTAGACTGAGTGGGTGAAGGCTCCATTGCTGTGTTTCGCTCTGTTTCGCTGTGTTTTGCTGCATTCTGTAGGCCAAAATTTAATACAGAAGAGCACAACTAAAATAAATATTGGTGAAATGGATGGAGGGTTTGTCAAAAGCTTTTCTCATATAGATGCTATTGCTTTGTCTGGAATGTTTCACAGTATGGTATTACACCTTTCTAGAGGATAATTTTGCACACCCTAATCAATGAAATGTTAAAAACTAGATATAAACTTTAGGAATCACATGAGAAAATTTTGTAGCAGCCATATTTTTTAACATGGAGATGGATAAGTTTTATGCTGTACAACACTGCCATGGAAACAAGTATGAGGAGGCTTTCCTTGTAACCAAATAAGTCAGGTTTGTGGAGATGCAAGCCCGTTCACTTTATGGATGTGTGTTTTTCTGTTTTTCAGTGCCATAAAAACATGATGGAAAAAAGGGGGGAAAAAAAACAAAACACTTATGCTTATGCATTTATTTTAGTCTATTTTGACCCGTGGGGGCTTTAGGTTGCACAGTGTACAGAATGTATACCCATGAGCTTTGGTGAGAGTTTTCGCTTTGATGGCTTTTCAGAAGTTGCCCTGAGACGACTACTACTCCTACTACTACTACCACTACTACCACTCTCTCTCCTCTCTGAGTTACTCCAAAACATGACAAGAGCCACTTCAAAGCATGCCTCTCCTCTTTCTCCTGCTCTCATCCAAAAGCAAATGAAGGACGGGGCGATTTGAGTAGTCAAATTGTTGTGGGATTCATAATGCGGTGTGAGCTCGTATGAAGTGTCTATGTTGATACAGGCCTATTAAAAAATGAGTCCGTGCCAGCCAGCCAGTCCTAAACCATGCTGTATAGATCTCTATCACTTTGTTAATTAGTTTTCCTGTCTTTGTACATTTTAGATTGACACGCTCCCGCTCAGATTTAATCAACCCACAGAGGAGGATTTTGTGTAGAATTTTTTTTCAGTGTAAATTATGTGGAGAATTCTTGGGGTTCATCAGTATTCTTTTGCAGCTGCAGTATATTTTCATGTGTTAAAAATAAATAGTGTTTTAATATGAGTGGTCCCAGTAAAACTTATAATAATCTTTGTGAAACTGTTTTGCGGTTGTGTAAATGGGCTGAAAAGAAGCAAAGAGCCTTCAGCACTGCCTCTCCACAAGCACAGTATAATTGCACAGTCGCAATTATCATAGTTTTAATGAGCTGCTTTATTCATTCTCTCCTCTGTGCTAAACTAATATATTAAGCTAGAAACACTTTCATTTAAGGAAGGTGCATCTTGTCTAAAGACTGCAAACTGTGGTATCTGGTTCTAGTTGGTTTATTGGCAAACTCCACATGATGCCAATGATGATTCCAATGATGTGTATCAGTTCTAGTGTCCTTAAAGCAATGGGCCTTAAAACAGTATTTTGCGCAGCGTTTGAGATGTAATAAAACTTCAAATGTAGTGATTTTCATATCGATTTGTGCTGAATTTTGTTCAACAGAAACAATTGATTTTTTTTCTTAGCTGTTTTTATTTGAAAAGTTGTGTTTGCTCAAACTCTGACCTTGATAAAAAAAAAATAAAAAAAACTCAGCCTTTTCAGCAGGTCTCATACAATAATAAAAATACTTTTACTTTTCAGCCCCCTTCAAAAAGGTAGTACAATAGAAAGTACAGATACATGGTCTCAAATGTAGTGAAGTAAAAAGAATCCACTATAAAATGTATTTACAGATAACTCAATTTTTGCCTTAAAGTTAAACGTTTCTCATTTAAAGCTGTAATAAGCTATACATTTCAGTTAATGGGTGAAATGTTGAAGCATATTTGTTTCTCACAAAAATGTATTTTTGCATCCAAACCCACCCTATATGGAGTAATAGGTATGAGAGTAATGATGTGAGGTGTGCCCTGTGCTCAGTGCTCCTCATATTGATCTGATGTGGGTTAGAAACAGACCGTTGTGGCTCTAGCAGCTACAAGAGCAGCTCTGAGATTAGTTTTCTTTAATCCTTCATTTCGTCTTTCCTCTCGGCCAAAAGATGAAATGAGATTTTCACTTCGTTATTGCCCTTCCTCAGTGTTGTACAGCCTCCGTTACTGGTGACACCAGCATGATCTTGTTCGCAAATGGCAATAAAAAGTGTCAATTAAAGGGTTTAATAATGAATTTGTAGATAGTTTTGGAAAAGACAAGTGGCCCATATTCCGCTATTTTCTGATCCCTGTTAATGTTTCCTCATCAAAAATATACATGGTTATCTTTTTTCATCATTTAACACACAAACCCTGGATATTTAAACAGAGTTTTTCTCTCAAACAGAAAACACTCTGTTTCACCTTGTGATGTCATGTGGTAATACCGGAAGTGCTCCATTGTGTTTTTAAACTCCATACACCTTCACTAAAATCATTTCAGCCTGGGAATTGCCAGTCTCTTTCTACTAAAGTTAAAAAGTAGCTGTTAACTTGAAAACTACCGCTTCATGACATCACAAAGTTGAACAGAGTATTTTGAGCTTTGGAGATGTAGATAGACTAATAATAAAAGATAACTCAATCATGTGTGAATGAAACAAAACATCAGGTATGTTTTTGTTTAAGTAACAACACTCTAACATGGCTTAAAGCTCAATTTTGTGTAATATAGAACAATAATTTAATCATTTCATATAAAAAAACATGGATGTATTTGCACCATTTGAGTCATGAAGGCATCTGCACAAAAAGTCTCTTCTAAACACTGTTGATAAACTGGTGTATTTGTAACTCCTACTCTGTTAACCAGTGGATGTGGTTTAATCTGATTTTCTCTCAGGCAATTTACCACCCACGCTGTCTGCTTTAGGAACCCAAAATGGCTTCTGTCTTTTTCCTCTTCGTGTTTACAATCTGGGCTGTGTGACACTGTTTACCAAACCACCTAATCTCTGACAAACAACTGTGTTTTTAAAAGATAGGTGCATCCACATCTTTAAAATTATTGCTAAGGCTGTGATGACGGCTTTGAAGATGTTCCAAAAATGTGCCTCGAAATTAACATTAGGTAAGCAGAGATCTAACAAATAGCAGTTATTTGCAGCCACATATAAAAGTAAGAATTTTTCAGATTAAACAATAAGCAATTAATATGTTATATGTATTCTTTTTCAAAATTGTCTAGCTTTAAATGTGACTTCATCTCCTTATGAAAAACTCCTTGTCCAAAATGTAACTGTCTGAGAAGCTCTGAATAATTTAACAAAGAAAGATGTGGACACAAGGAGATGTTCGCTGGAGATGATTGCACCGCTTTGCTACCAGGAAATTGACTTTTGACGTTAGATGTTGCTTTGATGCTTCAAATATGGACTTAATGTATGATTTAAAATGACACTTATGAAAGGTGTCTATTTGCTCACAATGGCAGTCTGTAATGATGCCTAAAACATAGCTTTATTGCAGCTGGAAGCAAAATATACCACACAATAGTTATGCTCTAGCTCTATAATTTCCTTGCTGTAATTTCACTTGCCATATACATATTATAGGATTAGAAAAAAAATATATGTTGACCTCATTCCGCCCCACCCTTTTTTGCCTCTAAATGCTACTAAACAGCATTTCCTTTTTGCTGACACTTCTGTTTAAGCGGGAATCTCATTCATTTAAATTGAGAATTTGAGAACTTTTACCAATAAAATATGATATCGGTTAAGTCGTGTTAAATGTTCAGTGTTCATATGCCCCAACAAGTCAATACAACAGTTCTCTGGGAGGCTTTGAAATAGCTTTGTAGTCCGTATAGAACTTATTTGTTGTCATGATCGGCAGCCCCATGCAAAATAACACAAGCACCCACAGCAACGTCTGGAATTAGCAGTTAAAAAAAGAAATATATCTTTTTACAATCTCAGCTACTTGTTCATTCATAAATTCACCAACCTCCTCATTCCACCTATAGTAAATCCTATAGGAGCTCTTCAGTGCTTTGTGCAGTGAGACGTACTTACGCAGCACAGCAGGTTGTGACATTTGGGTCCATTTGATCGAGTGGTCTTGCTGTGGTGTGATTCAGGTGTGTTGTTTTTTTCCAACACTTGAATATTTCACTGGTGGTCGCACTGAGTTATGAGTACCAGGTGAAATAGAAGGTCAGGCGTGACGCAGAGTGATGTCTTCTCACCCAGCACACTCACAGCTTTTCACTTCAGGGGTCTTTATTATTTAATATTCTGAGGATAGAGATTTTCACTGTGGCTCTTGTTGAAATATTTCTTACATCATTTAATATAATATCCTTTCTGTTTTTAGGTGCCCCTGGCTGACCAAGGTAATCTCGCCTGCAGTGCCTCTCTACAATGGGGTGGTCTTCCTCTTCGTTTTGGCCAATTTCAGTATGGCAACTTTCATGGACCCTGGCGTGTACCCCAGAGGTTTGTAGTTTTTTTTATGATGTAGTTTCATTATGTATTCACTCACAACCCCGACATATAACATGACCTTCTATATGATATGGTGCATTTCTAATCCCATCCGTATAGCATTTATTTGGGCAGAGTGTGAGTGGAGGGTGTGGATTTGTGAAAATTGTGAAAATTATCTTGATTGAAGTCTGCATTTTATTCCTGTTTTACTATTGGTTTTCTTCAGACGGCCACCCTGACCAACCAGTCCCTTCTACATTCTGTTTTAATCCAGAACGATCTGAATTCATACCACTGAGTCTGACAAACCTCCATCCTGACTTGGGACGGTCCATTGAATTTGATTTTATTTGTCTAGAGGATAAGCCCCTTGAGACGTCTCGCTGTCTCCTTTTCCAGGGGGTCCTCATACTTACAAGAACAAAAGATAGATACAGTAGTCCAGACAGTACGCTACATAAATTCAAATAAACATCAAAACAACAAAATCAACCCAACCTCACTCACACTTGACTGTAAGACACATAATAAATCAAATCTGATCAAAAACTAAGACAGAATTCAGATATAGTTACAAAATACAACAAGGAAAAGATGAATGAATCAACGAGGGAAGGCTGTTCCAATCAGAGGGAGCTTTATATTTAAATTAGTGTTTTTCTATTTGTTTTTTGACTCTTGGGACAACAAAAAATATGATCTGCATGACATAAGCTGTAAGAGGATCTGAATGGAATTAAAAACTGTTTGAGATATTCAGAATAACTGAGATCTGCATTTAAAGATAAATAAAAAGCAATGAAGTTGACGTCAGAAGGACAGAGTGAGCCAAGACAGTTGGTGGAACATCACACAATGGTGAGATCTGATGGGACAGCGGAGTCTGCACAGACTGTTATAGATTAGATATGTTATAGATAGATAAAATTCTCGCAACATTCAGAATAAAATGTACAACTTATTTTACCTGAGATAAATACTTGATTGTGCAAAAATCCACAGTTTCTTATTCCCCTGTGTGATTTTTTTCTCCTGCTTTTTTATGTGTAAGTTGACATGTTTGTTTGACACAGTAGACATTTGCTTCTTTCTGATTGGTTAATACTCTTTTCATATGGTTCTAGGCCCACACGTACTTGTAAAGTTTTGTCAAAGCATTGCCTGTTTGAGTAACCATTATAGGCTCCTGATTCCCATGCACCCTAACAAGGACAGCTATATCCATGAACATTTTGGTTTGAGTAAATGTTATCTTGGGTCAACTGTAACAATTATCTGTTGATGATTTAACTCGGTTGGTTGCACACACACATGTGTCAGAACAGTGAACCAGCCAGTGTCTCTTCATTGTTTACTGCTCCATTAGCTCCATATTACAGTGCTTTAAAGTCCACATGCTCTTTTTGCTGGAGGTTATACCCATAAAGTAAAGAGCACTGCAGTTTTTCATGTGTTTAGCCTCTTCTTCAATATGAAACAACACAGTGACTGACTTTCCCATAGGAGGAGTGGGATATACTTGTAAAATATACTTGTAAAACAGATACATGTAATCTTCCATCTTTGATTGCCAATTCTGCACATTTATTTCCTGATGCTTATTAAGCATAAGATAAAAGCTTAACTACTCATGTGTCGTTTGGGATGTGGAGTGCAGTAATTTCCACTTGATTTTGATATGAAGGAAAGTAAGGCTTGATACTATATGCCATTTTCAATGCAATGATTTAAAAACACTTTTGTCCACTACGAATTTTTGAACTGATGCCAGTATCTGATATTTGTTGTATATTCCCATATTCTTTCTGTGAATAGAGAGAGCTCTAGTTTAACCCATTGAAAACATAAAAATAGACCACAGCTAAACTTACCTTACTTCAAAGTTAACAAAGCTGTCAAAATGCACACAAAAGCTGCAGTTGTGTCTACAGCCATTTATTTTTACAATCCATTTGAAAGTCTTTCAACAGTTTCAATCAAAGCCTTTTTCTTTCCTGTTTTGTGTGTGCTGTCTTCTGGCTCGCTCCACCATTGTTGTTATCATTGTGTGAAATTATTTTCTCAGGTTTGTGCGCATTGTTTGAGTCAGGCCTTTGATCAGACGCAATGTTTTTGTTCTGTATCGCCAAAGACAAAATAAAACCTACCCCCAGAGGAATGAAACTTCACTCAAAGTGTCTGAGTATGATTGGATGGGCTGCCAGTACCAGAACTGACCCACTCATTCATGCCAAGCTTATGCAAATGAAATCAGATCAAGGGAGATTTTTTTCCTCTACAGGGAAAATTACTCAGCAGCAGTTAACATGTACAGTAAGTATATGTAGGTCTATTATCAGTGGATCTCTATCAACATCAATTATGATTAAGTGGTCCGGTGTGGCACTGAATAAAATGTGAATACTGTAGAAAAGTAGATTTATTCAAGTTAAGCAATTTAACCACTATATAAGATGGATTCATTATAGGATTATAATTATAATTTTGAAGCTTTCATATTATCTCGATCATTAACAGTGTTTACTAGCACCAACCAGTGAAATTTCTAGTTCCTTCAAGTAGTTTCTGGTAACGTAGTTTCCAGTAACCTTCTCAAAAGCTAAACATTAAAGTTGTTTTATGTCTGATGTTTCTTGCCCAAATCTGCTGCTGTTTATGCATAACTGACAGAAAACCCCTAAATATGATCATGTTTAGTCAGAGAGTTCAAATGTTTAAGATAAAATGAGCAAATCAGCTGATTTAGATTTTATTTATTTATTTATTTATTTATAACAAGCACAGTGCATATTGGCCAACAGTACAACTGCATAACATGCCAGAGTTAGCCAAGAGGCTAGTTTTTGTCTGGAGTCCTTTGCCAGATGTACAGAAGGCACCCTAGAAGGAATGACCATAACAAGATAAAATAATTAAAATTTCAATCCATCTGCACACAGTAAATGATTGGTTGGTAGGTAGGTAAGTAGGTAGGTAGTAGGTTTTGATCCTAGTTTGGCTAAAAAGTTAGACTAGGGCTTTAAGTCACTTTTTGTGGACTTGATGCTTTTGCTCATACTTAATATGGAAGCAACATCACTTTCCTACATATCTGGATTTCCCCTTTTAACTGTGCCTATATATCTGCAACCTACTGCAAGTTTTGGCATATTTTTAATTATATTCTTTTGCCTTGTTTTGATAGCGGACGAGGATGAGGACAAGGACGATGATTTCAGAGCTCCTCTCTACAAGAATGTGGAGATCAAGGGCATTCAGGTCCGGATGAAATGGTGCGCCACCTGTCACTTCTACCGGCCACCGCGATGTTCTCACTGCAGCGTCTGTGACAACTGTGTGGAGGTACAAACAAAGCACTCGTCTACTACACTATGTGGAGACTGAGATAATGTTATGTAGTTAAAATGCCTATATTAGGCAAAATTGACTCTTGTGAGCTTGCAAAGGTGCATTGTGTAATTTTTCTGGTGGAGGGTCCATCAGATGCTTTTCTCCATGGAGATGTTATTGCTTAGTCTGGAATGTTTCACAGTATGGCATTAAACCTTTCTATCTTCATGGAGACCGAAAAAGTAACAGATTAGATCTGTGGAAAGGCAACCCCGCTCACAGTCAAATGCCAGTTTTTCTAGATATTTCTGAGCTATTAAACCATCTGTAACTGAATAGCAGGTGACCTCCAACCAAAAAAATTACACACCTTTAAGCCATGTTATAATGTTGTTACCTTCTCAAATGATTTTAGTAAAGAGTGTATGGAGTGTTAAAACACATGTGGAGCACTTTCGGTATTACCAAATGACATCACAAGGTGGAGTGAAGTGTTTTCTGTTTGAGAGAAGAACACAGCCTAAATATACATGGTTAATGTGTTAAATATGTGTGAATGAAACAAAACGCAACTCTCAGTATGTTTTTGATGAGGAAACAACATTATATCATAGATGAGACAATAGTGTACAGTAATATAAGAAGAAACTACTTTGATGAGTGACGAAGTGTATTCAGTCTTAAAGACTTTTTCCGGTTGACAGAATTAATTTTGTTTTGTGACGTATATGAAGTGGACTGCCTTTATACTAAATGTAACACATAAACTATTCACATATTCACAAAATTAACAGTGACGTTTTTCTTTTTCTAGGACTTTGATCATCACTGTCCCTGGGTGAATAACTGCATTGGGCGAAGGAACTATCGCTATTTCTTCCTCTTCCTGCTGTCTCTGAGCGTGCACATGATAGACGTGTTTTCTTTTGGCCTCATCTTTGTGCTCCACCACCGAGAGAGGCTCAGCGCATTGCACACCACTGTCACGTATCCTTCCACACTGCATGCTCTTCTGCTGGCTTTAATAAAATATATATTTTTAATATCACATCACTCAATAATCCTGACTGTTCAGTTATGGTGAATTACAGGTACATTTAGTAGTACCTGGGATACTGAATCTTGCCTCTCAAAGTCTCAAAACATTGTATACAGTTGTATACATAAAAGGTGAATGAGTCTTTGTAATGCAGTAGTGTTGTCCTTAACCTTATGCCCAGTCTTGTGGTGATGTGTATAGCAGGGCTCTTCTTCATTCCAGTCATGGGACTTACAGGATTTCATATGGTGCTTGTGGCTCGGGGTCGAACAACCAATGAACAGGTAAAATAGATACAATTTACATATATCCATGCTTAGAATTAACACAGTAAATACACGGACTCTTCTGGGTTAGGTCCAGGTGCTTTCTGAAGTAAAGTAATACAGTTGTTTAATTTGTCTGTACATTAAAATAGTTTGTAACATCTGTAACTATAGAGGCTATGTAATAGACATTAATTAAGGAAGAGTGACTCATTACAAAGTATTACATCCACATTATAAACTATGAACACTGTTATTTTCTGTATAAACTCTACATTCATATATAATAATGGTAAATACAATTTTTAAATCCAAGTAATCCTGTCAAGCCACATAGGGTTGGGTCACAAATCAATGGACTACATGTGCCTGTCCCAAGCCTGTGTACATGGAGAGGGTTATGTCAGAGATGCTGTGTTGAGCTCAAAAGTGTAAATGCAAACAACAGAGAGCAGTGATTTAGCCTCACTGAATATACATAATGTTATTAGCTACATAAATGCTGTTGGTGTGTTACATGGCCTTGTGCATAAACTCTATCTCTTTATAAACTGTTTATATGTCCTTGCTCAGGTGACGGGCAAGTTTCGTGGAGGAGTAAATCCCTTCACCAAGGGTTGCTGTGGCAACGTGCAGTACGTCTTATGCAGTCCTTTGGCGCCGAGGTAAGACACTGTACCTCTCTGTGAATATAAATGTTTTCAGGATTTCTCTGTGTAGTCATGTTTATGTTAATGCACAAATTGCCATTTGCTGTGTCATGTTTCATTAAAACACATTGGAGAATTAGCACATGAATGTGGAGATACATTGCAGAAACAAGTAAATTTTTCATTTATTTTTTTGCTTTGCTCTGCACATGCATTATACTTATATTATACATCACTGAACATTTATTGAGCCACCTTTGATAGATAAAAGAACAGTTACAAATGAAGTGTTGGTGGTGTTTTGGAAATGCTCTGACCCAGAGACTTTTCCCATCACAGTTTGACCAAACTCACTGATCTGACTCTCTGAAGGTGAGCATGGTGTACACTGTACAGAATGTTCACTTTCAGTCTTTTGTTCTGCCACTAACAGGTGCCACAATGAACACATTATCAACTCACTTCAGACTGCCTGATCGGTGTATGTGAACAATAGAAAAAAGACGACATAGAACATTACATGTTGAAACAATGTCACTATAATATAGCAGTGTATGGAGCTGTTTTCATATGTATCTGGGAAAGAATGACATGATTTAACACTTCACAGTTGTGAAATGTGCATATTGACTCCCTCAAGTGTAGTATTGTGTATTGAGTATTGTTGCATCATTAATACAGACCCAATACATTTCCAGCTAAATGCAGTGAAAAGTGGCCTGTTCTGTTTGTGCACATGCTTTGAGGTAGTTGTGGAGGTGTCTGTCTAGAGCTGACTGAAAGCAGCCAAAACCCCCGGGGGAAGGCAGATGGCTCAGAGAGCTGACTCACCCACACAGGACAACAGTTATATATGCACTTTCATTTAGTGCCATTTACCACAATATCATCTAATAAAACAGTTTACAGTTTTTAGTTCAGACATTATTCAAACATTGTTATGAAATGTTAGGTCTCTATTACATTAGAGGAATTATAAATTTATGAAATTTAAGATTCAAATCTTGATTTTAAATTTCATAAACTTGATATATCTCAATAGATACAGATACAAAATAATCGTCAGTACTAGTACAGCCTCTGCAGCTCAGTGTGAATTCTGGGCGTTCTGAGTTTTCAAATGAGGCAAGATCTGTCTGTATATTGAGAAAAACTTGTATGTGTACTCTATCTATCCAGGTTGAGCTGTGTTTATTAGTCCCTTTTTCAAAAGAGAGTGCAGGCTCCATACAGTTCCTTTAATATAGTCTGCCTTTTGAAGTCACATTACATTAGTTATACCAGGTGTAATAATGCTTTTAATTGTTGGTGGTACAATTGAATAATTATAAGAATACCAGCTATTAAAATAAATCATATGAAGACAACCATTGAATTGTTTGATTGATCATATTTTGGGTTCTGACTGATACAGTAATTAGTATGCCCTGTTCTGCTCAAATTCATGTGTAAATAGCGTTGTAGCATACCTATATTAAACCTTTTTTGAGCCGCACTATAGTAGTATTGTTTGAGGACAAAGAGAGGCCTGTTTGGTGATGCTGTCCATTCTCATGCAGATACATGCTGGATCCCAGGAAAAAGCCCCATATCAAAATTCAGCCCCCATTCATCAGACCAGACGTCTCCGACAGGCAAATCACCATCAAGGTCAGCGACAACGGTATCCACGGCACCATCCTCAGCTCCAAGGTGAGCTCACAGTGCGGTTACTGTGCACTTTTTACAGTATTTATTTTTATTTATTTTTCTTTCTTTTGGGTGTAGTTCACTGCTGTGCCATACTGCCATACTGTGAATTTTGTTTGTGGTTAAAAAATGATCACTAGTAGCATTTTTGAACTACTATACCTTAATTATTTCATACTATGGACAGAAAACCAGACCAGATAACTCTTTGTAGATTGCTAGGTCTTCTACTACTGACTGCAGCAAACTTATTTACTGGTGGATATTTTTCATATGTTGCTGTGTATGTCTTCTCCCTGTCTGCAGTCTAAAAGCAGCTTGGACGGTCTGGATGAAAAAGAAATCCAGCCTCCTTTGCCTCCCAAAGCTGACAGGTACAACCTCAAAAATCATCTGACCTCCAGTGAAGGTAAGCAGAGAGCATCTCTTTTCTTATGTAAATTTTGTTCCCCCCTTTCCTGTCTATTTTGTTGAATATATGGCATTTTTATAGACCTGCAGTGACTTGATTCTAGTTAGGCATGATAAATGCACACCTCAGTGACAGTCCAATGGCCTTGATTTTCCCAAGCAGGAGATTGGACCTGATTTGTTGCAGACGGAGCCTGGTTCACTGAATCTGTATCAGATTTGCTGTACAATGCTGGAGTGAATCACTGCAACATGAATCACCATTTTTCTTTTCTCTTCTAAGTGGTGTGAGGGAGTGGAGCTCTGCCAATAGAGGGGAGAGAAATCAAACAGGCTCAGATTTGGACTATAATTAAGATGGAGCCTGTCATTTGGGTCTACAGTTCAGAAATGGTTGTGACTGTGGGTTTATCAATGGAAACATTAGCCTTGAACATTTATTGTCTTTTGTTTGTTATATTAGTTGTCAATAATTGTTAAACCTCAACAGCATATTTTCTCCAGAATCTCCAGTGCCATGGTGCATTATGTCAGGGTTTGAGCACAAAAACTCTTTTTGTTGAACTTTACTGCCACCTGGTGATATGTCGATGTACTGCATTTGAAAAGAGATCTCTGGATTAAAACAATCTATGCCTTCTAATATTATGTTTATCTTTTTACGAATCTTGTCAGTAGAGAGCTCTCTCTCTGGAAAGACCCACCCTTCAACTCCAGCCATGTACAAATACAGGCCATCCTTCAGCACCATGCCAAAGGTTCACTACCACAATTCTCGGGAGAAGGTAAGATGATGATTTCTTTTTATAATCGAGAATAGTTGTACTTTCAAATCTTTGAATTGTTGTATAATTGCTTTCCCCATCAGATTATCGTTGGAGAGGAATGTAAGACTTCAGCTATTCTAGAGGAGGGTGTCCGTGGTCACGACTACCGCTCTGAGCCCAACCTGGACCTGCCTGAATACACTAACGCTCCACTCCATCGCACGTTCCAGTCATCTCCTCTGCAGCTGGACTCTGACCCTGTGAACTCTCGCTCCCTCAGCCTGAAGCAAGCTCAGAGGCGCTCCGAGAAGGGCCAGCTCACAGCGCTCCAGCCTCAAACAGTCACCTCCACCCCCTACAAGAGTGTCTTCTCCCCCAACACACTGTCCAACAGGAACGGCAGCCTGTCCTATGACAGCCTGCTTAATCCCACCATCTCCCCAGGTACTGCCAGTGAGTACATGGCTCACCGTGGGATGCCCTCCATGGGCTTCCACTCTCCTTATCTGCCAACCAAAATGTGCCACATTAGGGAACCTGAGAACCAGAGGCAGCAAGTATCAACCACCTACAGTCCTGTGATGCCTGTCCGAGTGGGCCGGCAGTCCCCTCACCAAAGAGACAGGGACCCATCTCCAGTGCGCTATGACAACCTGTCCCAGACCATCATGGCCTCCATCCAGGAGCGAAAGGAGATGGAGGAGAGGGAGAAGCGGCAGATGTTCCATGGGCGCTCACAACCACACATTTATGCCCAGGACTCTGGTGTGTTTGATGGACCAGGGGGGTATGGGCTGCCCCCTAGCGGCTGTTATCCAGATGGGACTCGCTCTCGAGGCCCAACACCGCCAGCCTACAGTGGCTCTAGAGACAACCTCATGGGAGTTGGGTTGGTGAACTATGGCCAGCGCACCCCAGTCTTGCGCCATGGCGGTTCCACCATGAGCCGAGCCCTAAGGACTTCCTCTACTTCGCTGCACACTGACCACAGCAGCTCCAACAGCAGCAGGGCCACAGAGGGCTATCGCTCCCCCACACACCAGCCCCACTCCCCTATCGTCCCCCGTTCCCCCTCCTATTCCCACCATAAACTCTCCTACATGAACACCCATGAAAGGACAGACTCCCCTCGTCTGGGAGCTCCAAGGTATGACTCGTAACATCTGGGATTGCATGCACTGTATAAGGCCCAGGGGGCATGGGGCCATCAAGTAGTGTTCCATTGGAGGCCCTTGTCTATTTGCAACACACAGCCTGCCCTGTCACTTTGTTCTAATGTTGCTGTGTATCCATTATTATTTCAATGGTATTTAAATACTTTTTTCTTTGTAATGGATTGCTTTTCTAGTGAAATAGACCATTTTGTGTGCATCCATGGATATAATAATAAAAAGAAAGGTGTGATCACATGAATTTCTTTTTCTTTTGCATGCATTTCTAACATTCCACATATACTTTCAGAGTTAGTATATAGTATTCATGATCCATTCAGCTAACAGCATGCCTAACCCTTCCGTGTACAGTTTGAAGATAACAGATGAACATAATTTTTCCCTGTTGTGTTTTTTTCATTCAGAGAAACCATAATAGTTAATGGGCAGAGGGACTGCCACCCCAGTGCCCATGGCACCCCCCTCAGCCCCAGTCGCCACAGTAATGTCAAAAAGATGACGGGCATCGGTGGCACCACCTACGAGATCTCTGTGTGAAGACATCATATCTCAAGACTGTAACATCTCTGTTTTCAAAGAGCAGGTCTCTCCTTTTGATAGGATAAGCCTGCCTGCTGTCCAGGCGGTAATGAGAGGAAAGTTTTACGTGGTGGTTCATAATCATGGTCACAGGAGTGGAGTTGACAATGATTGTTTGTTGGTTGTAACTTGTAACAGTACATTTTTTTCCAACTGTCACACACAAAATGGAGTGTAGACTAGAGTGAGGTGTATCTACTTGAAAAAAAATCCACCATGTGACTTTTGGCCTCAAGTCAAGGTGCTCTGCAAAACCTGCACTGCATCATCTTTTTTCAAGTTAAGTGTTTTTGATAACACAACACAACTGGATGGAGAAGCACATATGTAGAGGGAGGGCTAACAACTATCAATAGTCAAATGTAAATTAATTTATTTACAAATGTCATATTTTCATAAATCTATGAAATGAATGTCTTTTCATTTATGTCAATTAATTGTTGGAAACAACTTATTTTTTCTCAATGCAGTCCGTCAGTGATCGTTGATAATTTCTACATGGTCCAAGACATTGGGTGACTGTTGTATTTGGATAGAACAGGTATACCTCATCACAGTGGAGGGTATAGGTCAGCATTGCACAACTTGTTTTCTTAATATTTAGATTGTTTAAAAAAGAAACAAAGCATTTTGATATGTATGTTATGTTTGCGTTCATAATGTAACAGTTGTATGGATACGTCATTGTAACTGTCAAAAAGCTAACTGGTTGTTATTTTGTATTTTTTCTAAGTGTGTTTTATTTACCCATACTTTAAAACCTATGTTTGATACATACATTTTTATATCATAGGCAAATAACTGAAGCCTGGGCTAGATTTGAGTGCTTTATGTTTATGTAAAGTCTTTGATGATGACTAAAAAGGCTAAAAAAAAGTTGTACCTTGCAGTGTAAAAAATGAATCTTATATAAAATCTGATGCGACAGAAAGTGAAAGTTACTCTGTATTTAACATCTAAAAGTCAAGCATAAGAACCATTATCACATTTTAGTCCATGTTACAAAAATTCCTATTTGACAAAATTCAGCTGCTGTCTGTAATACCCAGTATCACTTTAAATAAGTGGCAGCATAACTTACATTTTAGCTTGGGTATCAATGGACAACACGTCCAGTAGTATCTGCATTAAAAGGTTTGGCCACAATGCCTTTAAAGACATAAGAAAATTATGTCTTCGGTTACATTGCTTACCAAAAGTTGCAGAGTATTAGGTGAGATCAGTCAATATCCTGATCTAAAGGCTCAGTGGTGCATTAAGATGGGGACAGTAGCTAATGTGATGACTAAAAACAATGAGCCAAACAATGGTGAGACATTGGCACATTCTAATCAGTGCAACCAGTTTCTAAGAGCTAAATTAAAATATTAGTAGGCATCTCTGCACCTCATTAATGCCAAATCCCCTTTAAACTGCCGCCACTAGTCTTTGTTTTGGAAATGGACTTCACTGCAGGTCAGGGGCCATTCCTGACAGTACTGAACTACTAATTAATGATATAAAAAAATAAATTAAACATATTTTTGTGGAAGAAGGAAACATCTCCCAATGAAGAAAATAAAATTTGCTATTCAAGTGATTGAGAAATTGTTCAGTTTCATTAATGCAAAGAGTTGGTCTTGGAGAGCTTTTATTCAAAGGTGGAGGAGGAAACATCTCAAATCATCTGTGCAAATGAAAAGCAACATTTCATCCAAACATTTTTACAGATGCACTTCAGAGGCAAGGGCAAAGAACTCAATTAGTGAAGATTAGGTGAGCAGATAGGTCACACTTTGTTACATTTATTAAACATGCTTTAAGTCTGGGAATGTTCAAAATATATTTATCAGGAAAATATTTAGCACATAGCTGCAAACTTTGAACCGTTGACTAAGATTTTCAAACAAAAATATGCAAAATGCTTTGATAAGTGCATCTGCTCCAATGCCATCAGTGTGCAGTGGCATTTGTCACATGCACCAAGATAGCTACTAAACTGCCTGGAGTGAATTTCTCCATTAACCAACCCAAAAGGCAGTCAAAGCAGCATCCACTGAAGACCACCTGAGCTACCTTCACCCCGCTACAGGCAACATGGACACTAAACAGGGCAAGAAAACCTGTCAAGATGTACAAAAGATTTTATATTTTAACACCTCAAATGCCCCGTATATTGTCTTGTGCAGGCTACATCCTCTTAGTCTACAAATTTTTCAATACTTAAAAAAAAAAAAAAATGACACCCAATGTGGGAATTATCACTATCACAAGCCTTTTTCACAGTTTATAAAAGTAATATTGATGACGTATGAAAAGGTGACATCTTCAGGGATTAAGGAGAGGCTTTTTAGTACAAATTCAATATATCGTTAGGTTTTTCTCAGTGGCATCAAGGACTTGTGATCTTGAAGCAAAACAGATAATAAAAATAATATGCAAGTGTCCAAATTTCAGTTCCGTTACAGTCTATTGTAGAAAAAGAGGAAAACTGACAAGCTGAAGATCAGCAAAAGCGAGTTCTTATTTCTCAATTCTTTTCTTCTGTCGTGACCTCCTTTTTCTCATCATTCTTCTCCGTCTCCTTTTTGTCCTCTTCCTTTTTCCCATCCTTTACAGAGAGGTCTTCTAGTTTCTCTGCAACTTTGTCTGGCCCATCATCCTCACCTGTTAACAGTGGAAGCATGTTTAGTTTTTATAAATATATCATACAAATTGATGGGTAGTGAATAAAAGCCATTTTAAGGCTGTGCACACTATATTCACATGCACAAATGTTGATGTGTGTTTACATTAGATGATCCAATAAACTGAAGAGTATTTTATTAGGACAAAATGTGGCAGAACAAACCAACACTATTTTTTATTATAAAAAGGCAGTCATTTGTCATGTTCCGCAGAATAATGTAGCAGACAGAAAAAGTCCAAGGCTGGATCGCACAGCAAAGAACAGAGTGTGTCTGCAGAGTTGTGGTGTGTCTCTAATGTATTAATGACAACTTACCTTTAACTTTGAGAGCTTTTCTAACTTCTTCCTTGCACTCATCGAACTTAACCTTAAATTTCTGAGCATCTGTGATGGACAAAAATTGAGTTTTTTTTTTTATTTGAATGCAATAAGTTGCACTGCAAAATAGTAAAACACACTTACTTTCTGAGTTTAAAAATCTTATTGCCAAAAGTTCAGCTTTCGGGCATTCATCAGCATAATCTGCCAATGTATTCCACACCCAGGCCCGGTCACTGCCAGCATTTGGCTTTAGCTCCATCGCAGGTGTAACTGCAGCATAATAAGCAGAGTGAAACAGAACTGTAATTGACATGAACACAAACAAGTATAGTGTGTTTATCTGCACTCACTGTGATGGTTGGCACAGATCTTGAGTGTTCGGTCTCTCCTCATCAGCAGGCGGATGCTGCCTGATTCTTTGTGCTTCAGAAGCTTCACGTCTCCAGTGCCCCTCTCCTTCCACTCTGGAGGCTCGTTGTCTGAGGCAAACCTATACAGTTTGGCTCTCCTGTTGATTTTTAATGGAAGACACTGTTGTTGACATCTATTCCACGGTTTCTTAACACATAAAACAAACTAGTCAAATTACATTTTAAAGACTTCCTCTTCATCCTCTTCTAATGTTTTTATGTCCTGTTCTGGAAGGCTCACGATTGGATCATAGTGGGGATCATGATTGGTTTCTTCTGCTGCATCTGGAGCTGTTGTTTCTTGTTCCTCTTGGTCCTGAAAAATGTTACAAAAATGTGGGGTTACGGCTGTGAAGAAATAAGCCACATTAATGTATACAAATAATCAAGTCTACTAAACCTACTGTCACATGCTGCATGCCCTGACCTCCTCAGAGGGAGGATTTGGAGTTCACCAAGCATGGCTTTGATGAGCAAAACTTGGGTATGGGTTTTGCCAAGCAACGCACCATTACAGAGCATAATGTCTATTGTAAATTTTACATTGATTACTTACTCCAAGCTGCTGTACTGCCTGCCATCGGGCATCCACACATAATATAATATCAATAGAGAAGAAAATGAAAACTCATGACTACTCCATCCTTTAAAATCAAGAGTTAAGAGTAGCTCATCCAAATGTCTTCATTTTATTCATCTAACAGCTACTTCATTTTCTCATAAAAAGAACTCACGAAGAAGTTGTGCTACTTTTGAGGCCCAGGGCGAGCTAACAGAGTTTCTCTTTCACTATCGGCTTACAACTACATATGGCCGTAATCCCATTTAACGTTCACGCTTACAACAAATACTAAACATCAAAAACGATGTAGGAACTGTGGCTTTAAGATTAGGACTTGAGTTTGTTTTATACCTGAAACACTCGTGACTACGAAAGCTACATTTAGCCAACTCATGTTAGCAACTGTTGTGCCTGAGAGACAAAGGCATGGGCATAGTCATTGATTTCATTTCTTTGACAATGGTTCCGAGCTAATTAAGCGTAATAGAAGGTTTCTTTTTCGTCTAAAAATCGACACGGTAAATTGTTTTTATGGGGCCTATAAGATTTCTCGTGCAGAAACCTGTAGCTAACATGTTGTGCAAGTGCTGTGAAACTACTTCTACTATAAACTGTGAGACGTATAAATTGCGAGACTTAATACACCTACATATTCAAGGTACATCACTTTGTGTAGCTGAACAAAGGTCGCGACGAGTACTAGCTTTGGATGAAATCCCAAAATATCGGCATTTTGCTACAATGCTCCAAGTACAAAGTTTGTCGAACAATGGCAGTAAATATAGGAGAATTTACAACTAAATTTCTCCCTGTAACGAAGCACAATGACGGCGATGATCCGAAGCGTATACTCTCACCTTTGGGTCTGCCATAATTATGTAGATGTTTAAAGATTATGGCAATTGTGCGATAGACTCAGATCCCAAAGTGTCCGCCGTTCGCCTTCACTACTCACTTCCGGCTTCGGCTTTCGCGCGCCCGACGTAAGCGCTTCGTCTCACTCTTGTGTGTTTTTGGCAGAATAGACGCCTCCAGGCCCAGTGCTGCCGTTCACAGATTGCTTTTGGTATTGCAGTAGGGAAGATCCTTAAAGAGCTAATCAAAATATGTACGTATAAAACAAATTGATATAGTTCTAATTTCTTTTTCATCTGTGGCTCAGTTCCCCTCACCCATTTGGTCCGCTACATGAACCTTAAAGTTGCTTCTTTTTTGTTTGTTTTGTTTGTTTGTTTGTTCGTTTGTTTTGATTAATAAAGGCCTGTTATTTGTTATAAAGGATGTGATCATGTTACCCCTGCTTCATGATTTATGGGAAATATTAGTCCACGTTCATAACAATAACTGTAACTCTCTAGAAATTATAACTAGTGTAGTGTTTATTACTCACTGAATAAAAAATATAGAAAAAGTATATTAGTAGTACAAAAATTTATTCAATATTTTATGGGGGACCTTCACTGAATACCTTGAAGGATCCAAACTTGATTTCTGCTGCTCAATTGCTGTTTAAATTTTTCAGTGGTACAGAAGTATTGGTGCAACTGAATGACATAACAGACAGAACAGTAGCTCTGCAGGAGACATGCGCAGTGACAGTTGTACAGGAGGAATGGGAGCAGTAGATACTGACACACAAGCCTAGAGCGCCCTCTCGTGACATAGCTTTGCTAAAATAGCCGTCTAGCTAGTGTATTTAGTACATACTTAGTACATGGATCTATTCAAATTAAAATAACATATAAATAACTATAAATATATAGATATAGATATATAGATAGATATAGATATTGTTGTGCATTGATGCACAACAATATCATCTGCACTTTACTATATTGTATCTACATAATTATGTTATGTTGCTAATTATGTTGCTTTGCCATGTTGTTGTGTTACTGTTAAAAAAATTAAAAAAAAGATTCCAGATTAGGTTAGCCCGGCTAGGTACTTCCGGTGACCGTAGGCCGACTGAGCATGCGCAGTAGTGCTCTTTTCTCCCGTGAGCACACGCACGGAGCGCGGGCTGGTGTATCACGTGATGTCTTGGACCAATTGGAGCTAGAGCGGAGCAGAGCGGAGCCGGAGCTAACTATTATAAAATGTTTTTAAGACAACTGAAGGGTTTTGAGCTGAGAAAAAGTTAGTGATCTAAAAATAGGTAAAAATCGCCAACAAATCCGATATTTTTGAAAGTTGTAGGTGCCCTGTCAGCCGAACACGAGCTGTCTGTGATTACATTGCGCTCTATGAGAAAAATCCTGTCTCAACCCAGGGGATTTTTATGAAGGTATATATACTATAAAAATCTATGAAGGTAATATTTACCTTCATAGAAAAGAAAAAGGTAGATTCGCCCTTCCGCATTTAAGCTGCATCTGTCACCACTAATGTTCAGAGAAAATTTGCTGGAAATGAACCAAACGAAATTGCCTTTTCATTTATAACGATATTCGAGAATTGTTTCAGGAAATGAACAATTTTAAATCTTTAATGAAACTGCGTGAACAGATCATGTAGCTGTCTCTTTAACCGGTTCAAAGGTTGTCTTCGCACGTGGTAAACCAGCCATCATGGCAGCGCCCTGTGTCCTACTGTGAAGTGAGCAATATTCAGGAGTTTGTACAACAGAGGCAAAGTTAGAAAGTGAAGGTAAACCAGTAATATAACTGTTTGTTTTTTGTAGAGAATATATATCTTACCTTATAGGTCGTTTTCATTTTCAACATTTTATGTGCATAGTTTTCCATTTTAGCGTGTATATATTTTAGTTAAAATCATGGGGACACGTTGGTTCGTAGTTCGTGAGACGTGAGGCAGTATTGTCCCCTTTAATCAAGGCTCCACACCTCACTGTTCTTCATTCTTCAAAGTTACTAAATACTTGATTTGCTTCCCTAATGCCTGTGTATAATATATTCAAAGTTTTTAATGTATGTTTGTTTTCTTCTTCAGAAAACACAAGTTTGTTAGTTAGTTTTGGACATTTGGAGATGGCAGACATCAGTAGGTGCGCTTTGCCTGATGCATCACCTGCTGCAGAGGAGAAGTCTGCAGAGTTGCCCCAGGACTGTAACACTGAGGAAAGTGAATCATCAGACCCAAGCATGTACCGCTACATTAAAAACGATCTCTTCACGTCTGAGATTTTCAAGGTGGAGATAAGAAACCTGCCTAAATTCACTGGGTTTAATGATCTGAAGAAGTTCTTGGCCAAGCAAAATCTCAACCCACACAAAATCAAGCTGTTTGGAAAGCAGACATTTGCTTTTGTGACTTTTAAAAATGAAGAAGAGCGAGATAAGGCAATGAAGTTGGTGCATGGGATGCAGTGGAAAGGCCAGGTGCTGACCGTTAAGCTAGCTAAGCCCAAAGCAGACCCCATTATGAGAAAGAGAAAACAAGAGGAGAGTGAGGGGCCCCCATCGAAGAGGATGGAGGAAGAGGACGAGGAGCCACATAGTGTCCAGATTGCCAATGCAGTGACACCACTGTGGAACGTACCTTATGACGAGCAGCTACGCAGGAAGGAGCAGGAGGTGGTGGCTGTGCTACAGAGACTAGCCAAGTGAGTGGTGCAGAGTTTTTTGTTTGTTTTATTAATGGTAAAAATACTCCTTGATCTCTTTCTCGCAGTCCTCCACTTTTCACTGCCACCAAAAACATCAGCTAAGTCGTTTCAGAGAACAAAAATGTGCTTTCTGAATGTCAACAATTTCAATACATTTGCCATCCCTCCAGTGTTCATGGTGGTGGTTATGCCAGAAATGTGTTTACTCTCTAGTGTGATGGGCAGATTTGGGCTCTGACTTTTTTTTACTATAAAAGAATGGCTTACTTTCTGTGTGGGTTGCTGTAAATAAATGTACAAATATGTAAAACTGCTTCTCAAGAACACCTCTGATTCTGTTAGGGAGATTGGCAACACCAACAAAGCCATGCTACCGTGGCTGTTTGCACAAAAAGGAAAATACAACAAGATGTGCTGTCCTTTGGAAGAAATACGCCCTTCTCCCACCCAGGTATTTTAAAAATGTTTGTTGTTTATTGTCATGTCATATCTTAACCTTTGTTTGGATATCTGTGTTGTAGACAGGGTACAGAAACAAGTGTGAGTTCCTGATTTCAGTTGGAGCAGACGGAGAGGACAAGACCATAGGATTTCGACTGGGTAAATATAAAGGAGGCTCTTGTGCTGTGGTCGGTCCAGCAGAGACCAGTCACGTCTCAGCCGAAGCCAAAAGAGTGGTCAGTGCATTTCAGAAGTTCATCAGGTATGTCTCATTTGTTTATCCTCTAAACATTAAAACTTCAAGGTGTAAAAAGAATATAAAAACAGTGACTTTTTTGTACAGGACAACAACTTATTCAGTGTACAGCCCAGAGACCTATGAGGGACACTGGAAGCAACTAACAGTTCGAACCACGAGGATAGGGCAAGCTATGGCCATAGTTTTCTTCAACCCACAGGTAACTATGACAAGACAACTGAAACATATGGGGGAAAAAAAGAAGTCAATATATTTGTGGTGTAATAGTGATACAAAAATGTTGCCTTTGAAATCTGACATTTTAGAAACTGGATGAGGAGGAACTAGATGCTTTGAAAACCTCCATGAAGCAGTACTTCACAGAGGGAGAAGGGAAAGACAGTGGCATCACATCGCTTTACTTCGTTAGAGAAGGGCAAAGGTGGGACCAGTTTTTCAGGTTTTCTACACTATACAGGTGTAACTGTATGGTAATTAGAATTTTATCTTAAAGAACGTCTCCTAACCCTGAGGATCTACCCTGTGAGCTGGTGGGCGGAGAGAGCTGCATTTATGAGGAGCTCCTGGGGCTGAAGTTCAGAATTTCGCCTCATTCATTTTTTCAGGTAACCCTATAACACCACAGTGGCTTATTTTGTTTTATGTTATTGCTATTTTAAAAGTGATATGTGTGTGTAAGGTGAACACAGGAGCTGCAGAGGTGCTGTACTCTGCTGTTGGGGAGTGGGCCCAGTTGGATGAGAACAGCACTGTTCTGGATGTTTGCTGTGGGACTGGGACAATTGGGATCTCTTTAGCCAAGGTCAGCTCGCATAACTGTTCAGCAAAATGTTTACACTCTTTGCGTCTAATTGTAAAACATGTTATTAATTGCAAACTGATTCATGTGCTTTGCTGTATGACACTTTGGGATGAGCACTGATTGGCTGTGCATTTGTGGTCTTTAAAATGAACTTGTGCTATTACAGAGAGTAAAGAAAGTTATTGGGATTGAACTCTGCCAAGAAGCAGTGGAGGATGCCAAAGTCAATGCAAAACTTAATGGTAAATCAATCATAGCATTCTTACATATGATTTGCTGTGTGTCATACATAATGTGATAATTCAAAACATTGAAAATTGTGTCTGTCTTTATCTGCTTTTGTTTTAAGAGCTGAGTAACATTGAGTTTCATTGTGGAAAAGCTGAGGATGTGTTCCCAAACATCCTAAGTGGTACTGTTGCATCCAACCTCATAGCTATAGTGGATCCACCAAGAGCAGGCTTGCGTGAGTAAAAGAAACTACAAGATGCAGATTAAACCCATTGAGTTATACAGTCCCTGACAAAAGTCTTGTCGCTTATCCATTTTGTAGAAACAAAAGCTTATAACTTGACTTTAAATTAATTGATTGGTTTTAGAAATGTCTCATATGAAAGCTAAAACCCTCCCAAATTATGCTCAATATACTAAAAAAAAATTTGCTTCACTGAAAAAAGATTGATCATTTAATGAACACAGAAAGGTCAGATTTTGGCAAGACAAAAGTTTTGTCGCCTACAGAAAATTGAACAAATAATTTACTTCAAATACAAAAATATGTTGCATAACGTCAGTGAATTAAGTAGTGGTGCTGTGAGATCCATATTTAATATCTTGTATGACTTCCATGAGCTTCAAGGACTACATCCATGTGGTTCCACAATGATTCATACAATTTGTTGATGAAGTCATCAGGAATAGCAAAGAAAGCAGTCTTACATGCCTCCCAGAGTTCATCAAGATTCTTTGGTTTTGCCTTCCATGCTTCCTCTTTCATTCTACCCCAGACATGCTCAATGATGTTCATGTCTGGTGACTGGGCTGGCCAGTCCTGGAGCACTTTGATCTTCTTCGCCTTGAGAAACTTTGATGTCGAGATAGAATTATGCGATGGAGCACCATCCTGCTGCAAAATTTGACCCCTTTTATGGTTGGGAATGTAAGAGGTAGCTAATATGTCTTGATATTTTAGGTTATTGATATTGCCTTCCACCCTGCAAATGTCTCGCACACCCCCATACTGGATGTAACCCCAGGCCATGATTTTTCCGCCACCAAACTTAACTGTTTTCTGGGTGAATCTTGGATTCATGTAGGCTCCAGTAGGTCTCCTGCAATATTTGCGGAGGCTGTGATGTAATTCAACCGAGGATTCATCTGAGAAATCCACCTTCTGCCACTTTTTCAGTGTCCATCCTTTTAGCAGGCTGTGGGCCTTGGCAAATGCCACATGTTTTTTTAATTGCCTTTTGTTTAGTGCTGGTTTCTGTGCACTGATTCAACCATGGAGGCCATTTAGAGACAGAATTCTACAAACTGTTCTGGTTGACACAGGGACTTGAGGTGACCAGGCCTGGTGGAGCTCTGCTGCAGTGGAAAAGGGGCTGGCCTTGGATTTTCAAATCAACAAACGGTCCTCCCGAGCAGTTGTCTTGTGGGGTCTGCCGGGCCCTGGGCTTGTCAAAAACATCTCCAGTCATTTCAGATCTTTTTCTTATTCTTTGTACTTGACGCTGAGACACATTGAAGGTGTCACCACCTCAGCAGTGGATCTGGTCTTCAGCCTCTTGATAATTAATGCTTTGGTCTCAGGGTGGATCTTAGGCATGTTGTCAGAGGTCAAGTTGCAGTTGATGTGAAGGTCTGGTGTGCTGGGGTTCTTTTTATACACACCCACTAACTGATTGATCAGTAACTGATCACAGGTGAGGCTGTAATCTAGGATTGGGTGCATCATATGACAAGGCGACAAGACTTTTGTCTTGCCAAAATCTGACCTTTCTGTGTTCATTAAATGATCAATCTTTTTTCAGTGAAGCAAATTTTTTTTTAGTATATTGAGCATAATTTGGGAGGGTTTTAGCTTTCATATGAGACATTTCTAAAACCAATCAATTAATTTAAAGTCAAGTTATAAGCTTTTGTTTCTACAAAATGGATAAGCGACAAGACTTTTGTCAGGGACTGTACATGCTAGAGTATTATAAAAATAATAATATTACACAGATTCCAAAGTTATCCTGGCTATAAGGAGAGCAGAAAATCTCAAGAGGCTGGTCTATGTCGCATGCAATGCAAAGGCTGCTATGAACAACTTCATAGAGTAAGTGAACATTTTTAGGTTAACTACACTGCTATCCATTTTGTTACGTTTTATTTGATTTATTTAACATTTTTTTCAGTCTGTGCCGTGCTCCATCAAACAGAGTCCATGGAGCCCCTTTCCGTCCAGTGAGGGCCCTGGCCGTGGACCTGTTTCCTCAGACGATGCACGTTGAGTTGGTTCTTCTTCTGGAGAGAGTGGGCTACGAATCCCAGCCATCGGAGGACAGTGGTAGCCAACAACAACCTGGCTCTTAAATATACAAGTAACATCCAGGGGCCGAGGGGTTAAAATACAGGCAATTGAATTGTTACTTTAGATAAAGTGTAAATATCCTCTCCCATGTATGGCCCATTTCAAAATAAACTTGTAAATATTATTTGTAGAACATTATTTGTATTCTGGTTTTCCATTTATGTCCCTGCACTTATACCAATAAATTGCTCTCATGTCATTACTCACACACATTTTATTTCACATAACAAACATCACAAAAGTCAGTCAACTCAGGCTTAAATACATAGCCTACTTCATTTTCCAAGCAGCAACATCTCAAGGAAATGGTGCACATAAAAGGTTTGAAAGATTTTAACATGAGGGGCAGTTGAGTCAACTATTCCAACATGAGAGAATACATACGACGTGATAAATCAGCAGACAGTGGCACCAAAGCATCGAGTCTGTTTAACCTTAACTGTTCCAAGTGTAAACATAAAGGGCCATAGCGTGACTAGCTTGGGAGTTTGAAAGAATAAAGTCAATTTAGAAGAAAAGCGAAAAATGTTAGCTTATTGTTTCAGGAATTTAATCAAAGGCTGACTTTTAAAATCTGAAATTGTATTAACAGGTATAGCTCTATCAAGCCGGCAGAAAAGAAAGTTTGATAACCTTTTAAAAAATAAGGAGCGATGGCCATGAAGTTGGTTAATGGGAAAGTTTTGGTTGGTGATTTTTAACATGGCCAAAATAGACACGTGGATCTGAGCAGCGACCCCATTATGAGAAAGAGGAAGCAGGAGAAGGGAGTTCTGCTTTTACATTCATTATGGCCCTGCACCTATGCCAATAAACTGCTTCCACATCATGTTCAGGACGTTTTATTTTGCAGAACAAACATCACTGAAGTCAATGAGCTCAAGTAGGCCTACTTCATTTTCTAAGCAGAACATCTCAAAGTTATTACAACGCAATAGCAACATAAACTGATCCTTCTTGCACCAACACAGAAAACAACACACACATAGCACATTCTTAAAGCAATCTAAATGCATTTCTACTTTACACCAGTTAATTTTACAATGTAGACAAATTTGCTGCCATTAAAGTATTCTATAAATGCATGTAACTGCTAGCTTTGGTTATATTTTGTTGGTTTGTCACAAAACCTCAATACACTTAACTGGACAAAGGCAGTTTAAAAATACTAGCAGGCTAAAGTGTCAATTCTGCTCATTTCATGTTGAAGGGCGTTTTAGGTCCAACATTCAAATGTATAATCTAAGGTAACTTGTAGCCAAAAGATAGTAAGGTGCCAGTGAAATGGTGGCCTGTGTATATGCCATTACAGTTAAAAAAGTAGCACATTTTTAACGTAACATTTAGTTTAAAATATTGCCACAATATGACTGGCTATGCTTAATGCAGTGTCAATATGGAGCAGTGCGATTTTCTTGTTGAAGTAAAATCAACTTTAACATTTCTAAAATGCACTTATCTCAGTACCAAACACAGCAAGATCAGTCAACACAAAGAACAAGACACAAGTGCATAACAATCTTGAAGAGTGACTTCACAACACAACTTTTCATCGTGCAAATCAAGACAGCATCTTTTTCCAGCAAATTGAAATGGAATATTTTGTGTAAATAAAACCAACCACACCGCCAAGTGAAACATCCACTTATCAACCCCTCTGGGATCACAAAGAGCATAAATACGTACATTTTTTAGTAGTCCCTTTTTAAATATTGTAAAGCACAGACATTGGTGCAACTGACCATAGAAAACATTTAAAACAAAACCCAAGTGGAAAAAGAAACAAACACTATGTAATTTTATTTCTGACTTTACCAATTTACCCTGAACCTCTCCAACGACTAGAGAGGTAGATGGCATTTGCTCAACTGTGCATGTTAGTCCAAGTCAAACAAATAAAGTCATAAAATGTGGCCAAAGGATGCAAGCAGCTATCAAACTATATTGCCACTACATGATGCATTTTTTAAGGTAGCAATACATGTTTTGACAGTGACTGGTTTCAGTGGTGGTTAAAGATTCTTCCTTAAACATCAACAGTGCAGAGCGGTTCACTCCCGGGTTGGGCAGACTCCATGATGGTCATCTTAGGTTTTTTCCTGGTCTCCTCCTGAAGCACAAGTGTACCGTATAATAAGCAAAAATACTCAGCAAACAAATTTAATGTATTTGAGCAGGTAATTATACCCTCTGTTTGGCCAGTTTTCTCATTTCTTCTTGCAGTTTGTTCAGGATATGTAAGTTTGGCTTGTTCTTTTTGGCATACTGCTGAAGTTCAATCACACTCTTGTCTGAGCTCTCCTGCAAAACAGATTGGTTAACTTAAAGAACTGTGAGGATAATGACAATGATGATGAGTCCTTTTTTGGGAAGATTTTTGTTTTTATGCAAGAATTTATTAAAAGAGGGGGTATTTCAGTTCTATGAGTTATTATTACTAACAAAGGGTAACATGGTGATTTAAATGTTAACTGTTTTAAAAATTCTGTATTGTCTGAAAACAACAGCGCATTGTATGGCATTGTAAAAAAAAAGTCTCCCTCTTTAAGAAATTTGCATACAATTAGCTAATTAAGCAACTATTGTTGAAGTACATATCTAAACTAAATCAAATCAAACAGGTTTGTGTACCTTCTTCACCATCTTGTTGCTCTCCCTGCCGTACATTCTCAGCAGTGAACCCCAGTTTTTCACATGTGGATGAAGCATTTGCAAGATCTTCTGGGATGCCAACTGTTTTCCGACTCTTTTGTTTTTACCTGAAAACAAAGAAAAACAGATGGACGTTTAAAAGAGTTGCATTGAATTACAGTTTAATAATTCAAGATCTCTGCTCTATTAAGACTTACACCAGCCTCGAACAGTATGCTTCCCACAGGTCATCACATATTCACTCTTCTGGTTTTTCCCAGGGATCACTTCAAATTTAATGCTTGTGTCACCCATACCATGGTTTCTATGGAGACAAGGGAAGAGGGCATGTCAGGACTTTCTGCTCCTCACTAAGAATAAATATGTCTACCTCACCTTTTAAGGCACTCATGTAGAATCTGATATGGCGAAAGTAGTCCTGCTTTATTGGTCAACTCGTAAACTCTTGAGTCCTCTATACTGATATGATTAAAATACTGTGGGTAGAAAACATTGTAAGTTTGTCAGACCTATCATTTGTTCAGTAAATAATGTGATGGTTGTGACTAAAATACCTCCAGTTCATCTCCCTCCACCGGTTTCTCCTCTGAGGTTTGCTTCACAAAGTCAGGGATGAGGATTTCCAGTGTGGCACGAGCTATAAAAAGATCTCAGCTTTAACATCTGAACAGCTTAAAGATTCAATAACTACATGTAATGTCTTGATAAACTAAAGAAATTACCAGCTTTGTTCTTCGCAAGTTTTTTACTGCTTGCAGTTCCTGTACCATAGGTTACTCCATCAATAATAACAGATGCTCCAAAAGGTTCACTTGGGTTCTCTATATAATAAAAAAAAATCTCCTCAGTTTTGGATTATAGCACATTTCTTTAAAATTTTGTAAATAAATCTTACCACATTCAAAAAAGTTGTAAACAGGTCGAACTTTTAGGACACGTTGCATATATTCATGTAGGATGCAGACTTCAGATTTGCCATTCGGGTTGATGACAAATTCTGAGGAGAAGGGATATTAAATAGTTAAAAATGTATCATTAAATGTAGAGTAAAAAAATAACTCTTTATTGTAAATACACTCAAATTAAAAGCTGTCTACAAATCTTAGCCACACTACCTTTTTTGGTAGGTGCATCTTGGACAGACAGCGTGATGAGCTTCTGGTTAGCTGGCAGGATAGGTCTCTCAGACTCTGCCTGCTTCCTCTTCATGTCTCTGTTGAACTGGCGACGCTCTGCCCACGTGCGAAACTTCTTGACTGTAACTTGTTCAAAGTCAAAGCACTTCTCCAGGTACTGGCGAAAATCTTCAAGTTCTGCAAGGTAAAAATGCAGAAAAATAAAATAAACTTGTAACCAAGCCTAATTTCCTCGCACACAAATAACAGATCAAATGACACAAATCATGTGTCAAGAAAATATAACTGATTAGTATAAACCCTAGTAAAATAGGCTATTGATGTAGTGAATAACATTATGTAAATGTATTAACAGGTTGATATTAACAGTTATGTATAACAGTTGGTGCATTTTTAATACCATGCGAACAGTGTTGATTAAAATGCCAGATATCTCATTAGGCTTTAGCCAAGACCAGGCTCATGTCATTACAATACTTCATCATAGAGATATAGAACTAAAAAAAAAGAAGAAGTAGTAGAAGAAATAAACCCAAGGCTGACCTCAAACTTCCTTACCTATGGACTCATCTTTGCAGACCTCCACCTTGGCTTTGACCTGTCCCAGAGCCCCCTGAGCAGAGTCACATGCCAGCGGGTCTTTGCTCTGGAGGTTGGCCTCAGCTTCTCCATCAAAGGAGTCAGGCTGACTGGAGGAGGGCATGTTGTCTGCATCGTCAGCTGTACAGTCAGGCTCAGTACTGCTCATCACGGCTTCGTTATTCACTCTGCTAGATTTGACAGGAGACTCTTCAGCACTGGGGGTCACTTCACCATTGAGCTCTTTTTCCTCCTGCTCCTTCATTTTCTTGTAGTGTAGACAAGGTATGCTGCTTGTGGGAGGGTCGTGTTTCTGTGAAGGATTTGTGAGTCAGAGTATATAACTTTCAAACAATTAATACACTTTTAAAACCTTATATGAAAATGGTCAGGAACAGTGGTGGAAGGTAATGAAGTACAGAAGTAAAAGTACAATACTAAGTACAAATTTTAGGTAACTGTACTTTACATAAGTACATTTTACAATGGATAATTTTTACTTTTATGTCACCACAAAGTACTTTTCTTCATGTTTGAGAATTGCTGAAATGGCTGAGACTTATTTGTAGCACATTAAATTTGAGTTTATGTCTCAACTTTGAGCAAATGAAATGCACAAAAACACAAAACTTAATTGAATCACTTAAAATCTGCTAAACTCATTATGAAAAATCACTACATGTCATCCTTTAATTGTTCTAAAACTCTCTAAGTACGCTTTTTCCACAGGTACTTTAATATTTTTACTTAAGTAGATTTTTTTCATGTGATACTTTTAGTTAAGTAAAAGATCAAATGACACATTTGATCACACACAAACTTTTACTTAAGTAAA